CCCTCAGGATTTATCCTGAGATCCTGTACCTCAGATTGTAGAACCTTAGTCAGTGTCAGCCATGTGGATGAGTCATAGCCAATGCTTGGCCAATGTGCTCTCAGTGAAAGCCTGAGAGAATGTTTTCTCTCCTTGTGACTCTCCTTAGGCTCACTCTACATCATCGATCACTTTCCTTTTGGCTCCATGATCTCCTTGATCAGAAAATTTGGGACACTGCCGAGTTACATGATGTTATAGTACAAGTTCTCATTTGTCCTGAGTCTTAATTGACGTCGGAAGGCTGGGCCCAAAATGTTGGCTTTCCTTGCAGCCATCCTTTTTCTCTTATTTTGGTCTACAAACTTAGGTTGTTAATCGCCCAGAAGACAAGCTTATTGTTATTACCATAAACTGAAGCTGTTAAACTTAACCTCACTATCAGTCTGCATATGAAACATCTTAGGCATAATATAGAACAGGTATTTTTCCACAATTATTGATGTGTTGAACTTTAATTTCCTACAGAATATTATAAAAAACTTTAAAAATAATAATATATTTTTAAATAGTCATAAAGAATTATATACTTTTTATGTTTACACATAAGTCCAAAAATCTCACCATATACAACTTGAAGCAGGACAGTCCCACAATATTCCTTTTCCTGTCTCTTGCTTTCATTCACCACCCCCTTCTTCTTGAACATCCATCTACCCTAGAGACATCATAGAAGCAACTGGCATGTCATGACAAGCAGCCCATATTCAGAAGACCAGAATGAAAGGCACTCCAAGCATGAAACTACTAATACAAATTACCATTTTCAGTGCAGTAGCTTAGTTCACAGGTATCAGTATATATAGTTAGTCAGGGTAAGAATCTTTCCAATTAACTGCTAGATTAAAAAATCTGAAGATTCTCAGGACGATTGTCTTGCCCATCTTCTACATATAACTTTATAGCTTGACTAATTCATGTTTCCTAGCTCTTCTCTTTTCCCTCTCTTGATTACTTAGTCCGTGAGATCCTGCTTTCCTTTTGCTTGTATTTTACCTTTCTTTTTGTATTTCTTCATTTGAGTTCTTAAACTAGGGAAATTATACGATATTTACACATGTGTGTCTGGTTTATTTCACTTATGAGTATGCCTCTTACATTCTCTGTCTTCATTAAAAATCACTGTTCATCCTCCATCCACCTATTTGAGCTGCTGATCAGGTCATGCATCCTGCCTTCGTGAAGGGCAACCAGTATACCTCTGAGGGCAGCAGGACGGTAGTACTGTCTGTCACATGGAATTGAAAGAGACATCACATAGTCTTCAGCACAGAATTTCAAGAGCATTTTAAGCCTGGTTTCCAGTGCACTTTCACATGTTTGTTAGAATGAGAAGGCTCATCACTGCAGATGTTTCCAGCCACGCAGATCGATGTCGAGGGTAACTGTTCAAGGGAATGTTTTGTCTAGGACTTAGGTCAGCAAGAGGACAATTTTGTTTCTTTGTGATTTGTTTTGAACTACTCTTATTTTCCTTTTTAAACCAGACTGGAAGAAAGTCAGGAAAATAAGTTGGTATTGGAGGTGGTTGCCTGTAAACCTAGCACTCAGAGAGGCTGAGGTAAGAGAAACCCAGATTCAAGACTAGCTGTGGCAACTAACTTACTGAGAGCCTATCTCAAATAAAAGATAAAGAAATGAATGCATAAACACATACATAAGCTATGCAACTCAGTGCAAAGATCCTGGGTTAAATCACAAATACTGCAGAAAAAAAGATATCTGAAAAAGTGATTGAAAAAAACAGATTGGCATTCACACAGCCACAATCACATGCACACACACACATAGACACACATTTGTGCTTTGTCTTTTATATGGCTTTGTTCATCTAGTGTATGACTTGCATTCTGAAATTTGTCAGATATTTTATATGTTTATACATACAATAAAATACATATTGTGAAGAATTGTACTATGATTTAAAAACAAAAATATATTTATAAACATATTGTTTTTTTACAATATTCTGTCTTTCTAAGCCATGCAATAAAAATAACAATTAGTTAAGTGTACATTAGTTTCTATCAATTTATATCATGTGTCAACAGAAGTTATACCACACAGCAACTTTTTCAGGGCACTTTTGACTTCTGAATTCCTCAGAGTGTAGATGAGAGGGTTGAGTAAGGGTGTGCCAATCGTGTAAAACACGGCCACAATCTTGTCCACTGAAAATATAGTTGCTGGACGCATGTATATAAATATACAGGGAACAAAAAATATGACAACCACAGTGAAGTGGGAGGCACACGTGGACAGGGCTTTCTGCCTTCCTTCTCTGCTGTGGCTTCTCAGAGAGTACAAGATAACTGCGTAGGAGATGAGCAGAGTTATGAAGCTCACCATGCATATGGCCCCACTATTAGACACCACCAACAAGTTTATCACATATGTGTCCATGCAGGCGAGTTTCAGCAGGGGCTGCAAGTCACAGAAATAGTGATCAATCACGTTGGGGCCACAGAAGGACAACTGCAAAGCCAGGGCAATCTGTGCGGAGGAATGGATGCAAGATCCCACCCAGGCCAGGGACACCAGCATGCCACAGACGCGTTGGCTCATGATGGTTGTGTACCGCAGAGGCTTACAGATGGCCACGTAGCGATCAAAGGCCATGAGGATGAGCACAAAGACCTCCATGCACCCAAAGAAATGGGCTGCAAAGACTTGGGTCATGCATTCCTCGTAGGAAATGATCTTCTTCTGAGAAAGGGAATCCACAATCAGTCTTGGGGCTGTGCTTGAGGAGAAACAAGCATCAGCAAAGGACAAGTAGAAGAGGAAAAAGTACATGGGGCTGCCGAGGGTCTGGCTTGTTTTAATGGTCACCAGGATGACGAAGTTCCCCAACAGAGTCATTAGGTATAGAACCAAGAAGATTGCAAATATCACCTTCTGCTTATCTCCATCTTGTGTCAATCCAAGCAAAATGAATTTGGTCACACTGTTGTTCATCCCCAAGGTAGTGTCTCTAGGTAGGATGCAGTGAGTAGTGCTTAATCTGAAAAGAAAAGAAATGAAATGAGACATTAGAAGGGCCTATGAGCTTACCTACAAACTCTATTGTTCCGTGCCTTATTCTATTACTTCCAAATACGTTCTGGTGGAAAATTCCTCCTGAGAACTTAAAAATTTTAGGGGCCACTGCTCTTGACCTTGCGACTTTGGGTGAAAGCTTGTGCAATTTTGCAATATGAAATAAATATCTTTCAGATACTTTGATCTTCATCTAATGTATGACCTGAAAAACCAGGTTTTCCTTTGAGCAAGTTATTTAACTGTTTTGAAACTTAGTGCTCTTATGTCCAAAGTGGTATGCGAGTGTTTGATCTGCTGTATTTTGAATTTTTCAGAAGGATTAAAAACACTTACACGCACATATGTACATAAACATTAACATATATTATGTGTGATATGCAAAGTATCTCTCTGTTCTAAAAATATAAAAAGCACTATCTCAGTGAAATTATGCTCTAGGAGACAACTTTCTCTGGCCTCCCTTCTGTCCCTCTCTCAGATAGGACCTTTCTTTCCCTCAATAAATATGTTCTGCTCATAACCTCCATTTGTTCCTAAAATTCATCCTTTGGTTTTAGAGAACACGAACTCATCCTAGATAATTTTCAGGTTGAGAGATCATTTTTCTCCTATATCGTTTGGAGTTTCCCTGTGTAATTTTGGAGGTTCCCACTGAGATCATTGGATGGTGGTATGAGTTTGCTTTTCTTTCATAAATTCTGCATTGGGATTCCTTTATGTAAAATTTTTATGCTTCAAATGCTGATATACTTTACCCTTTGCTCATCATTGTTCGCACTTTGCCTCATACAGTTTTTCTCATACAGTGTTGTTAAAATTGCTACAATTATTTATGCTTTATCTTTTGTATGGCTTTTTTAAAATGTTGGTCAAAATGTTGTTGGCAAATCTAAGTTAAAACATGGAAATGTTACAAGGTTATGATATTTCTTTAATGGCACATTTTATGACTGGTGTGCACTTGAACTAAATATACTTATATTCCTTGCTTGAATTTAGAAAATAGCCTTTGAGAGAGTAAAGTTGTAAAGCCTCCTAGTGGATTTTATGTAAACTTCTATAAAATGGGACTTTTTTAATTTAAATGGGACTTTCAATCCAGCTCAGACTTAGAAAATATGCATGCCTGTATAAACACGTGACTTCTTTTGCCAACTAAATGAAATCAGGTTGACAACTGTTCTTAAAGCCTTGGAGGACAGGTTTCACTGGGGCAGACTGGCTCTGATCCTCTTCTACATGCTAGAGGAAATGTCAGGCTTGCTCTTTCAGTTTCCTTTCTTTGACCTTACTCCTAATTTTTTTCTACCTCTTTGTACTTTCCTTTTTAGAGGCATGCAAAATTAGGTGAATGTATAGACTATTACAACTAAATGAAGCCCTTAGAAAATGAGTATCTGTTAATGCCAAAGACAAGGAAGTCATTTTAAAAAAGGACACATATCCCATCTCTGGGTCAGATGAGAGAAAGAGGAGCTATGCCTGCCCAGGAGGACA